GTAATAGTGGTGGTAGTGGTGGTGGTGGTCGTGGTCGTGGTCGTGGTGGTGGTGGTGGTAGTGGTAGTGGTAGTGGTGGTAGTAGTAGGAGTAGGAGTAGGAGTAGGAGTAGTAGGAGTACGAGTAGTAGGAGTAGGAGTAGGAGTAGGAGTAGGAGTATGAGTAGTAGTAGTAGTAGTAGTCGTAGTAGTAGTAGTAGTCTAAGTATTGGTTGGTAGGTAGGTAGGTAGGGTTAGGTTAGGTAAGGTTAGGTAAGGTTAGGTTACGTTAGGTTAGATTAGGTTAGGTTAGGGTAGGGTAGGGTAGGTTAGGTGTTAGGTTAGGTAAGGTAGGTAGGTAGGTCGGTAGGTAGGTAGTAGTAATAGTAGTAGTAGCAGTAGTAGTAGTGGTTGTGTTTTTGTTGTTGTTGTTGTTGTTGCACCCTCCCCAAACAAACTCATGCATGTCAGACACATGAATTCGACATGCAATCTAAAGTGGCTCTTCCTTCAGATCATGGGAACGCTTGGAATCACATCCAGTGTGTGCCAAGTGTGTCACATCCAGTCACGGGCGACCTCAAACTTCCTAGTGGAGATATATGCCAACATGATATGCTTGACAATGAGAGCAAATATGAGCAAATCACATTGGAGGTCCCTCTTCTTCCGTAGTGGAGGGGGTTGTGTGTGGTTTCTGACTCAGTCCATCTCGTCCATCTCGTGTACTCGCACAGCACCAGTCCGTCAGATCTGCGAACACTCTTAAGCCACAGCCGCTTTCCTTACAGCGCTTCCCGAAACGCAGAGTGCGTCTTCCAACCGCCTCCTATCTCACGGGCTTGGATTGAGCCAGTTGACTAAGGGGTCAACTAAGTTGGAATCATAGAAACCCTACGCAGGTACGTCCCACTAAAGGTGATACAGACTACTGCATGAATTAATCTATAACTATTTTTTGATGAAGATGAAGATGATGTAAAACCATTCTCGGTATCAGGATGGTTTGACAATTTGATGTATCATAAATTAACTTGGCCCGGCCATTGCCCTGTTTTTCCACTGCACATTAAAACAAAACATACTCAATATATCTCAATATCATCAATATCTCTCAATGCTGGCGTGGCGCATAGTCGTGCAGCCAGCCACGCAAGCTGCGGAGCACGAGTGCGAAGAGCATCTGAAACGCCTCGTCCCCCATACGCACGCGAGTCCCTCGACGTCGCCGTTGCTTTCCAGCGGAGCAGCAGAGTTGGAGAGGCGAAGAGACACCGAACCGCAATGAACCGTAGAAGTGTTTCTTTTTTCACCAAGTCGCTGCGCCCATCCATTAAAGGGCTTTTTGAAGGCTTTGGAAAATATATGGTTGTGGGCAAAATGGCCTACTTTCACCATCCAAAACCACCGAATGTAGGCCATATTCGTGTACATGGAGCGTCTGGGAATTGTTGGGCTTTGTGTGCTTCTTTGGTACGAAAGCCTCGGAAGTTGAACGAGATCAAAGGTTTTAATGGGTATACCGGTATACCCCGTATGTCGTTGTGAGGGAGCCTAGCAAATTGAGAGCGAGGGGTTCTATGGATGGCTCGGGATTTCCTGCAGGCATTGCAGCTTGAAATGCACCATTAGATTATAAATATATATTATAGGAAAGTGATTTGCAATATTTGCAGATTGTGCTTTGGACGGACGAACCCTAAAGGTGTTTGTGTAATGGCGCAAACACTTCAGCGAGACCTAAGGGCAAATGTTGAGGGTAAGGCCAACCAAGCCATGTGTTTTTGAGATACACAGCCTCAGTGGCTGACTTCAGCTGGCTTCATCCAAACGTGCTAGGTTTTAAGTGAAAAACTATGAAAAGTGTTGCGAGCATCTTCAGCATCTGCTTCTGCTTCTGACTCGGATCTGAAAGAAATCGCTTCGCCGAGTGATCCCCCAGATTGACATCATTAGGATCCTTCTTCAGCGGTGGTTGGTAAGGGATTTCCTGGGGCGGGATTTCCTCATGCCAACCGTCAGGACCTCTCAGGACCGTCAGGACCGCCAGGGTCTCTGGAAAGGCTCCGAGTCGTCACTCGACCCCGACCCCGACCCTGGCAGCACGTGGCACATGACGCGCCAAACGCACGGTGGACGGAGTGAGATTTCTACGACTTATTAATTCGTGTGGTCGACTTGGGAATCTGGAAGTGTACATCTGAGGTGGTTGAAACTGTTTGAAACTTGAAACCCAAGACTGTGAAAGAAACAACAAGGGAGGCATTTCAATGTTTTCGCTCCTGCGACCCTGCGCCCATCGATCTTCACCGATCTCGTCATCTTGAAGCCCTCATGAACCACACAGCTGCGTAAAGAAAACACATGCGTGCAATCACGGCGACGTCCACCGAGCCTGATTTAGTTGTTTTTGTTTGTTGAACAACCGTTCTACGGATTTTGGACAACACGAGGTCCGACCTCAAGAGAACCTGAAGGCTAAACAGAGAGACCTGGAGGCCGCCGAGGTTGGTGGACACCGACTGGACCGGCCGGCTGCGGCTGTGGGTCAAAGAACATCGTCCCAGCATAGTCCAGGTGTGTCCCGGCGAGGCCCCTCGCGCCGACTCGCATGGAGACGAACGTATACACTGTGTAATATGGATGTCCTACCTTAGGTCCAAGACCATGTTTAAAAAGTTGAGGTTGTGTAGGCGGAAAACCCTTAAGTAATGGTGGTTCGGTAAAGACTATTATATCATAAATCAATTTAAATCAATGGTGGTATAGCTTAGGGGTGTTCAGGGGCACCTCGTTTATGTGCCAACGGGGTCTAGACCTCCGCTCACTCGAACCGGCATTTTCCACCAAGGCAGTATGGATTTCCTAGTGGATAGTAGCGGTGCCAGGAGCGCCTAGTAGCGTCCTTGCTCCTAATAGTAAGGCCAGGAGCCCCTAGAAGCGTTCTTGTGCTCATCAAATTGATCAATGAGACTTGTCACCTGCAAGTGTTCTTACAAAAGTTGCGCTTGAACCATTGGCACTCCAGCACGCCGATTGAAACTTCAAACATACAGTGTGGCCTCTTCTGGTGAGAGGACATCGCAGAATCCATTCATTCTTGCGATTGAGCATCCCGAAGTACTACAGTAGGAAGTCTATGAAACCCATTCATAGAAATCACTAGCTAGCACAAAAAGCAAAACAAAATACTCAATGCAAACAGTGAAGGTCCGAATGGGGCACAAACAAAGTTTTCCAAACACCAAATCACTAGCTAGTCCTGTCCAGTACTAGTACTTCAGAATCCATGCATTATCAACACGGCCAAATTCTAAAAAACAATCTGTTAAACGCCCACTGTCGGGCTGGTCTCTTCAAGGAAGAGCTGTGGGTCCAAACGGGTAAAGCAAACCAGAAAGAAACAAAGTCGAAAGAGTCTCGCGAATATTCTAACCAATCGATTAATTTCGAGCAGTTTTGACCCACATCATGCAGAGACCCGGGAACCTCTCCTGCTAGTGTTCCACAATAAATTGGAACGTTGAAACAAATTTCAGCCTTCACTGCAAGATGGCTGGAAAATCTCTGGCAAGCCTTGAGTCAGCACGACGGGTTGCCGACCACTGGCGCTCTCGCTGGTGCTCCTAGGTTCGTTGAACTTCGGAAATTGTCATGGGGATGTGGTGTGGTGGAAAAGAACTACACTATGCATGTCAGCAGACATGCAGCCGGAACACAAGACACCCTGTCCTGTCCTTTTTGAAGAATTCATCAATGTGGTGCAACGATTCATGGATATCACGGATAGGATGAACAAAAGGAGAACTTCGGCGCAGCCCTGCGTGAACAGAATTGACTCTGCAGAGTTGAAGGAACCTTGAATCTGCAGAATTGAAGGGACCTTGATGGATCCGGTGGTATTTGATTTGTGAACTGCTACCGTACATACCAAGAAACTGCTCACAATCTTCCCAAATCCACCAAATTCCACCAACTTCTCCAAACCCAATCCTCTTCCATCATGTTCATCCCCCCTGCCAGCCACGCTGCTTGGATCTCCCATCATGGGCACCATTGGTTCCAGGTGGTTTTGCTAGGTGCACAACCCCAACCCCCCAAAAACCCTGTAAAATGCCTAGGGCTGACCCCCTTTTGGCCAATATTTTCATTGTTTATAGTTATATTCCACCCCTGTGGCTGGTGGGGACCCCACAAAAGACACCAAATCTACTAAATTTACATAAATTTACCTTTCTGTAACAGTCTGTGGAACGGTCTTTCGTCCTGTAGTTGTGCATTTCCCTTTTTTCAAGACTGCTTTGGTCTTGTCCTCCAATCAGACTTCCGTGCGCAATGAAACCGCTACAAGTGGCAAATGATCTCATTTTCGTTGACTGTTTGGAGCTCTTCCGGCTCCTCGATCTCAATGTGCCAGTCATTCCACCAGCCCTCTCTCCTTGGAATTCGCCAGAAGAGCCGCTCCACCTGGGAAGAATAGATCAGTGACTGGAAGAGGTGGCAAGTTCAAGTTCAAACCCTCCATCCAAGGAGAATGCGCGAATTTCTCAGTAAAAGAAGGATTGATTCGAGACAGTGGTTCATTGATTTCAGAAGGTGGTACTGAAGGGGGTTGAGGAAAAGGAGGCCCTCACTGAACAATCTCCTGGAAGTGCATTCCTATAGTAAGAACGATTGGATCTGACTCGGACTGGCCCTTCAACTCCCTTATTCGAAAAAAAGAGCGAGACGCTATGCCTTCTTTCGTTACAACCATTCACCGTTGACCTGTGGTAGCTTGATGCCATTCACCCTTGACCTGTGGCCATGGTAATGCAGATGGTGATGATAATGCTAATGGCAATGGCGGTGGTAATGCCATTCACCGACCTGTGGGAGCCTGATGCCATGCACCCTGTGAGTCGTCGTAGTGAAGATGGTAATGCCATTAACTCAGTGACCTGGGGGGGGTCTTGATGCTAATGCTGATGGCGCTGGGGATGCTAATGGCAATGCCAATGGTACCGGTAATGGCCATTCAGCCTTGCCGTGTGGAAATGCTTGTGGCAATGGTAATGCTCATGACAATGGTTATGGAATGCCATTCACCCTTTGACCTGTGGGAGGTATGCACCTTTGTGTGCATTGTGGCCTGTGGCAGCTTGATTCCATTTACCCTTGACCGGGGTACTGGGAATCCAAATGGCAATGCCAATTCTATTGGTGGTGCTGATGGATGCTAATGATGGTTGTTTACCCTTGACATGTGGTGACGCTAGTGGCAATAGACATGCTAATGGCAATGGTGATGGGATGCCATTCACCCTGTGAGCCGTGGGAGTTTGATGCCATTCACCATGCTAATGGAAACGGTTACGCCATCCCCTCTGCGAGCTTGATGCTAATGCTAATGCTTATGGTGCTGGGAATGCTAATGACAATGCTAATGCTGCTTTCAATAGCAATGGCAATGCTCATGGCAATGCAAATAGTACTGTACTGCCAATGGCCATTCACCCATGACCTGTGGCAATGCTACGTGGGACCTTGATGCCATTGACCATAATGCAATTTTCCCTGTGACCTGTGGGGGGGAGCTTGATGCTGATGCTAGTAGCAATGGTAGTGCTCATGGCAATGCTGATGGTATTGGTAATAGTCATTCACCATAACGCAATTTTCCCTGTGGCCTGTGGCTCAAAAAGTGATTCAACTCCTTCACTGGAAGCAGTGTGGGTTCTGTCAAACAATGAAACTGCTAACTCAAAGACTGAATCTGTGCCATGCCAGCAAGTAAGTATTGCATGTGGTAGCAGAGCAGTCTTTTTCCAGAAAGCTTCCAAACCTAAATGCTAGCAATATAAACCTGATTGCCACCAATGTATTTTTAATGCTTATGGCGCTGGCAATGTTGATGGCAATGCTAATGCTGATGCCAATAGCGGTGCTAATGCTAATGGTAATGGCTATTCACCTTGCGACGTGTGGCAATGCTAATGACCATGGTTGTGCTCACGACAGTGGTGATGGACCGCCATTCACTCTTTGACCTGTGGGAGCTGTGCACCCTGTCACCTGTGAGAGTGGGAGCTTGATGCCATTCACCCTCGACCTGTGGCAAGAGGGATCACAATGGCAATGCCCATTCCTGCGGCAATGGTAATGCTAATGGTGATGGCAACGCAAATGCAATCGCGATGACAATGCCATTCACCCGGTGAGCTGTGGGACCTTGATGCCAATCAACCTGTGACCTGGGAGGTTGAGGCCACACACTCTGACAGGTAGCACTGGTTATGCAAATAGCAATGGCAACGCTAATGACAATTGTGATGGTAATGCAACGCAATTCACCCTTTGACCTGTGCGGGTGAGCTGTGGGAGCTTCACGCCATTCACCCTGTGACCTGTGGGAGCTTGATGCCCGATGAGATAACCAAAGACATCCCCGCCCTCTCCCTGGGATTCCATGGCATCCTTGGTCTGCGGACGGTGACTTTAGAGGGGACACGGTGGTTAAATGCAACATAATACCTGGAACGTGGCAGCTTACATTTTTGGACCCCACCTTTGGTCTTTTCATGCGCGTGTATTTTGTCAGATGAGTCTGGTGTTTTGTGGTGCTTGGCTCAGTTCGGCGGTTGTTTGATGCATGACATTGATTGATTTGACTTTCACACAATTGGTGTTTCATTTGATTGTTTTTCTGATTCTTGCTGAGAGTTTTTGTCGTGATCATACCAACGTCAAAAATGTAAGCTTACAATAGTGATGCTTGAAATCAAAAATGTAAGCTTACATTTTTGAGGCTTGCTTTAGAAGATGTAAGCTTACATGCTTGACCTTGGACTTATGGCCGACCCCCCCCAAAAAATGTAACTTACAATTTTTGAGTTCCCCCGTAATGGGTAGGGATCCAAAGACCATAAACATCATTGTTGAGGTTCACCTGTTTTTTTCAGAAAAGCACGTTGTGCGGGTGTGTGTTTTCCAGCGTTCCCGAAAGGACTTTGCATCTTGAATGTGTTCTGACGTTGAGGACGAGACCTCGTAGTTGTTGGTCGGTGCTCGCTGTCTGCCCGTGAGTAGTAGTCTTCCCAGTTCGCCGGATCTTGGGGGAGGTCGGCCCCAAAAAAATATGGTTTGCTTTTTGGCGGTCTCCTGTTTTTTTGGCCAACCCCTGCCCGGGTACTACATCCCCCGGTACTACCTGTGGCGATCTGCAAACTGCAAGCCAAGAGGCGTCATAAAAATGTCCCACATCGCACGTAAATTGACGCAGGTCGTCGTTCTCTGGGTGACCACAAGCGCGAGCGCAGCGACCTCCGCAAATGTGCGCCGGCTGCTGCGGCAAGTTGCGCCTTGCCTCTTGCAAATAGGCCCTTGCGCGTTCTTCTCGGGACAGCCGGCGGGCTTCCAAGAAGTCGCCTGCACTGTGCAAGGGTGATTCAGACCCCACGGAAGGGGCGAAAAAAACAATAGTACGCCCTATAGGCATACTACTGCAATATATTTTGGAACAGCCCAGAACGAACAAATATATGTTTAGCGGACCATCGCCCTCAATCATTTGGGGTGAAGCAACTTAATGTAATGGTTTCAGAGTAGATTGCGCAAAGCCCAAAAATCAAGCAAACCCTCCGAGCCGGGTGGCCCACATCGATCAGCGGCGGCTCAAACGGGTCGTCAGCATGATGGTGGAATGCTACCTGTCAGGTGGGTGGCAAAGGATTCAAAATCAAATAGGGTCGATAAACTTCGACAATTCCTTGGCGAATCCTTTGGATGACCTTGAAGAGAAGCCAATATATTGTAATCAAGGGGAAAGTTTTTGTTTCGCACAGCGATGCTATAAGGGTGCGCCCAAGCGCGCCAAGAACACATATAGATAATACAAGAAGCATGGTGTAAGGCACTGCTTCAACCAAGACACCGAACTTGGTCAAAACATGAAAAAAGATGCCAAACACCAAAACCTGGCCCCGACACTGGCCCGAAACTGCTCGAACCACGGCGCTGCTCGAACAGCGGCACTGCCGCGCGCAGACCGCCCCGATAGGCGGGCGAGGGGGTATTATCCTTATTCGGGGGGGTGTATTATTATTGAAATGATTGCTTTCCGAGCCCCAGGGGCCCCCCCCCCCCCCCCGGAAGAATAAGAAAGGGGTGAGGGTGTGAAAGAGTGACTAGGGCGTACACGGTTGAGGCGCAGACCGCTAGTGTCTTTTATGCGCAGAGTCTTATCCTCTTAGCGTCTTGAGCCTTATGGCAGTCAAGCATGGACACACTAGATAGGCCACTGGAGTGGAACCTGTACAAGTAGGCCTCTACATTTCAGCAGGCACAAAATTCATGTCCACTCCTGCCTATTGCGTATGTTGCGCACTATTTTTCTACCGTAAGGCTAAAACAGTCCAGCAAGCTCTAGTAAGCTTAAAAAGGAAACTACGGTGCCTTGTACTTACCAATTCCAGTGTTCGGTCACTCTAGAAAAGGTAATCTCAAGGTATACTAGATACAGTGAGAGAGCGATAGCTTACTCACCTCAAATACAAAGTCAAAGACAATGTATCTCGGCTGGAGACTGTATCGTTCACCGGCGAAGATACCGTGTACCGGCGCTCAATAGCCCTTAAATGGCCAGAGCTAAAGAAACAAAAAGGGAAAGCGGCTTCTTACACAGAGACCTATAAAAGCAGTAAACGACACTCGCGTAACGAAAGAACTAAAAATTCAAGACCGCGCAAATGCAATGAATTAAGATGCCTTGCAAAATGCAAGGAGCGTCTACTCTCGGTCCGAGGAATGGTCTTCTCAAAAAGTGGTCTCGGCCGCTTTCATAAACTGCATCAAAAGGACTCTTACTCTCATTGACACCAAAAACAAAAATGAAGGAGACACCGGCAAATGTATGTACAGAACTTGCACTACAATTGCAAACTCATAAAATGACTTAATCATCAACCATGAATGGTTGTCCATTAGAGGTCATTTCATAAAGAGCGACTGTGGTAAATATCATCAGTTTTGAAAAACTGTCCATATCTACCTGCAGATAATATCTGTTTTGTAAAACTGTATTTATCTGCATGCTAAAGTGTAAAACTTCAGCCTGGCAACTTAAAGTCAAGCCTGGAAGCAAAGTATCAACTGTGATCAGAAGTATCTTCACTTCCTAGCTATCATTAAAAGTTAGCCTCTGCTCTGAGGTTATGCCGCTGCAGTCGATGGAGCTGCTTGATCAGAAGTTGGCGGCCTTCCTTTCCTTTTATTCTCTTTCTGTCTCTCCTTCCTCCGCAAGTTAGCATCTCGAAGAGTCTCGCCCTGGCGATAAAGTCTTCTGTCTCCAGATGAAAAGGAAGCTGGTCTGAGTGAAATAAACATTGGACCATGACTGTCATCGTCAGAGGGTCTCGAGCACATAATCTCCTGGTCAACCAAAGCAAAGTTCTCTGAAAAATTACAGATGAACTCCTTCGTGCTCACTGTGGAATTTGTATATTCCTCTTCACTCATCGAATGACCCCATTCAACAATGGTAGACAAACATGTATCGCCAAGCTTTGATCCCTGGTATACTTCTTTCTCTTCACTAGAGTATTCTTCCCAGCGTTTCTCAAAGTAATCTTCACACTGCTTGAGGACATGTGAAGATGAACTGTAAAACGTTCTGGGAATAGGTGCTTTGATACCAGGATCTGCTGCTACACGGGCTTCTGAAAACCTGCGGATCCAATGCTGCATGGTGCTGTAATAATAGTTAGCCATTGGTTGCTTTTTGTACCCAGACATTCTGTAGGCCAAACTGTTTGCATCACCAGAAATGATGTCCACCTCATAAACAAAACACTCATAAAGCATCAGTGCTGTCTGTTCTCCTGTCAATCGATGGGCATCCACAGCACGGTGTGTGTCAACATGATAATTACAGACTCTGATGGTATGCATGTTCGCTCGAGTAAGTGGAACACGCTGGTCCTTAGGACCATAGTCCTCAAATTCAAAGTCTGCTTCCTTGAAGTCCTGACGAGGCCTCGTTTCTCCAAAACAAATCTCGTAGATAGCCCAAGTTACATCACGCTGTTGACAGTGACCAAGGTCTTGGTCATGTCCAGCAATGACCTTGACATATCCACCTGGTGCAACTCTAGCCATCACTGCAAGATTCTCCCAATCATTGAAACAAACTGCCCAATTCTTCTGCTCAATAAAATCCTTGGCAGGAACAAGGAGATGAGCTTCCTGGAGAATCACGACATGTGCACGCAAAAAGAAGAGCATATTGAAGAAAAGATTGTTTTCAAATTGCTCATATTGAAGTGACATGGCACTCTGCTTGCGTGGCTTCATTGCACGATCAAGTCCTTGGAGAAACTTTGGTGTGGTGTACTTCTGACCACGAACCATGTTGCCATAGTTCCAGGATAGAAAGGTCAAAGACTCTGAGCTGGCCAATAAGTTGGTTCCATATTGTTCTTCTATTCTACCCTTGAGGAACCTTTTGCACAGCTCTTCGTAGAAGGCGACAAAGTCCCAACTGGGTCCCTTGCGACCATATGCTTCCAGTTCTCCTCTAAACTGTTCCTTTGTAACCTCCAAATCTTCTCGAGCTTGTTCTGCCCTTTCAAGGGCCCTTGGTTCGACCTGATACTTGTCATCCAAATAAACGATGCGATCATCATTGATGAAAAATCTCTTCAGGTCATGCTCGCGGCTGTTCTCATAACAATCAGGTGGAGGTACTGGACAGACATTTCGAATGGATCGAACAAAGTCGTTCTCGTTGATCCTTGACTGATAGTGAGGATGGGAAATCTCACCTTTTCTGAAACAAACGTGGTTCAGCAATCTTGCGTGAGTTTCCCTGTAGCATTGTTGATAAAAGCCAATACCTGGATCTCCTGTAATCTCTCCAAGCAACCTCAAAGGTGAGGTATGCAACTCATAGGTATTGTCAGCATCCACAGGATCTTTATCAGCAACTACTTCAGATGGAAAAGATTCTTGGATTTCAGCCTCCAATTTCTTCTCTCCATCATCCTCTCTGACCTCTTTTATCTTCTTCACCGCCTTCTTCTTCTCTTCTATGGTTGCATTATCCTGAACTTCTTCATGAAAATGAGGATCAGGAATTTTATTCAGGCGGCTTCTCTTAGATTTCCGCTGAACTGGAGTATCATCAAGGTTAGCATCCATCTCACCTGATGGTAAGTGCGATGCAGCTGAGTCCTCACCTATCTCTCTTGACAGAAAGTATGGCGCTGACTCCTCCTTGACTTCCTCCTGGTCCACTTCCATCTTTGCTTCCTCTTTTGCGAGTTCCACTGCAGGATCTTCTTCAGGAACTTCCTCTTCCATATCTTCATCTTCCATAAGTGTCATACTGCCAGTGTAGATTCCACCAGCGATAGTGGAGACTCTGGTGTAAGAATGAACTTCTTCACCTGCCTCAAAGGCTTGTTCTGCGACATCCTTGGTGAGCAAGTCCTCTCACGGTTCTTGGAAGAGAGTCTGAGGTCTCAAAATAATCTGTCCTCTCTGAACTGAAAAACTCAGTTGCCTTCTCATTGTCCTTCTTCTCCTTAAAAAGATGAGTAATCTCCACTGCTTCTCCCTGCAACACTTGATCACCTTCTCTGTACTTGTTGACAATGGAGCTCCATACTGGCACGTTGTCATCATCAAAATCGAGCTCCATATCATCTGCCAGCAAGTTTGAGATGTTTTGAGCTGCCTGTTCTTCTTCTTCCTCACGTTCTCTGGCACGCTCCTCATTCTTCTGGATCTTGTAGACACCCTTCAGAATGTTTTGTAGTACCTTTAAGTTCAGCTTCGATGATGGCTCATACGTTCCTGAACTTACAGGTTCAACTACAACACGAGAGCAAGAAATCGCCTCCAACAACTTGGAATTGTATTGGCGTTCAAACTCTTCCTTCTTGATCATCTCATACAAGGGATCAGAAACTGCAACACGCGCCTGAACATATTCGCGAAGTTGATAGCATGCATGTTGCACAAATCTGCTGGTGGAGTTGTGAAGAAAACTCTCTAAATGATTCCTGTCACGGTCAATCAAATACCACACAACTCTTGCAGAAAAAACGGAATTTCTTGAAGTTCATAGCAAAATGTGTATGATACTTCTCTGGATCCTCTTCTGCTTGTAGAGCGGCCTCTGAAGTCTTGTAAGCAGGAAGTTTTGTATGTGGATCCAAGATCATAAAATCTTCCCACAAGATCGAATGCTTAAGAACCCACCTGGGAAGCACCTTGATGAAAAAGTCACAAACAAGTTCAGACAAAAGGTGCATGACACGACCAATCTCTTCCTCCTGCTTGAAGCGATAGTGCAATTTGGCAAACAAGGGGTTGTTAAATGCTTCCTCCATTGAATTGCCAAAATTATCCCACTGAGGTTCTGGAATACCAAAGTTCCAACCCAGCAATTTGGGATCTCTGCACATATCCAGGAAACTTGAAAGTTCTATAGATTGAATACCATGGTCTGTCAGAATTTCAGCCCAGCGGCGTCCATTCTCCCAAGCACGGATGAAGAAAAACTGTTGATATCCAGTTTGTGCCAACTCCATCCACTGACAAATTCCAGGTTCAAAACTCGGTGCATACGTCTTGGGGTCTTCCTCTGTTCCATAAATATTTGGACGTAGCAACTTGTATCTTCTACAAAAATATTCTCTCTGGTGTC